CTCCGGCCATACATACAAGCAATACCTACAAATGTATTTTCTCGGGAGAATACATAATTAACAGCGAAATAAACAACACACGAAATCATACGCGACGTTATATTTCGCCGAGAGAAGTAACCAGCGCGAAAATATATTCCAGCGAACCTTTTTCAAACCCACCTCGACGGCTGGAGATCTGCCAACAAAAAAAAATATACCTGTTAATATGGATCTATACTTTTTCAAAAAAGCATATAACTATATTTCACAATGTCTAGACATTTTGTTAAACCTGCTATCTCGAGAGGTTTCTATTCCTAGTCTATTTCTCCAAATTACAGATGAAAGGCTTGGAGATATAGTTAATCGTTAAAAACCCAAGTCGAAATAACAGGCTAGACTAGCAGACATGATGTTGCTGCTTTTGGCCTTGGAATATATGAGTTTCCTTTTAGTTCATATTAATGTGAATTAAGATGCTCGCTGTTTCCTGTTTCCGTATCTGGGATGCTGTGCTTTGAAAATTGTTTGGGTTGAGTCATTCCGACTGTGTATTTCGTATTATTATGTTAAGATAGATAGTTTTAGATAGTTTCATCTAATTTATAATATTATTGCAGAGGTTTAAAACACAGAAGAACGTTGTTGTAGATAAAAAAGGAAATGTTGAATATTATTAAGCGAGCACTGACATTGCCTTGGCGATTATCCATAAAAATGTTGGACGGAAATGCCAGCGGCGTTAGTTGAGTGCCTTCTGTCTGTACACTTTTACGGGTAGAATATGGAAATATTTATAGAAAAGTGTGGTTTGTATAATATCTAAGGTGTATATGTAGAATGTTGGGTTTAAAACATACATAAGGTAGCGTCATTGAGCATATTCCTTTCTCCAGACATTTGGGACCTTTCTCTGTGAGTACGACGAGGGAGTGAATTGGAGATTTTAGTTTTAATTCATACTCAACATTTACTCTATGAATTATGGGTAGAATAAACGCCCCAAAGAAGTACAGATAGCAAAATCTAGAGTCATGGAGTACGCCTGTACGAGGAGCCCGATGATAATGGCTTTTGTTGCTACCCGAGGGGCTTGGGCGGCCGGCCAATCGGGGACGAGCCGACGGGGGACGAGGAAATCCGAGGGTTCCCGAACGCGATTGCCATATATGGTCGTTATATTAAATATACATGTCGATTTATGTATTGCATTTTGTATTTTTATTACGGGTGATGATATTTAGTATGTGTGTTTATAATATAAAGGTACAAAAGTACTGTTATACGGATAAATCGGCTATATTGTGAGGCTCTAGCAAATGCGCTCAGGGTGAAAGTAGGGCGATCCGGGCGCTGATTGGTCGGCGCGCGTGACGTCACAGCGCCTTTGTTGTGATGACGGCGATTCAGTGGAAGAGGCGACGGAGAGCAGACGCCTTTCGCTCGCTCCGGCAGATAGCTCGAGAAGTACAGTTCTGGACTGGGATCGGCAAGAATACGCCGAGCTTTTGTGTCGGTAACAGAGGGGAGGAAAACTCAGGAGTCGCACAAGAAGACGAGAGTGGCATTAATTCCTCGGGAGAAAAAAAAAGAAAAGTTTTTTCGCTTTTGGGAGTTTTCCTGCTTCGCGTCGACGCCATCTTGTGACCTGAGGAAATATCGAGGATTTTTCTTTACTCGGGAGTCTTTTAGGAGAGAGAGAAGGAAATCATCTCGGCGCAGTCTGCGTTTCGTTCCCAGTACTGGAGTGTACGCACATCCGGAGTCTTAAAAAATTCAAAAGGATTAAAAAAAAAAAAGTTTCCAAAAAAGACCGAACTCGCACATATTCGCAGCCAGTGAATGAAGTCGTGATACTTTAAAGAGAAGAGATTTTGGAGAGCTAACTTTCTACCCCCAGAGAGTCATTAGATAACCCTACATCGAAATGGCTGGACAAAGAACGAGTCCCAGCGGAAGGCAGCAGAAGGGGCAGCAGAAGGCCCATGAGGGTGACACGCAGACTTCTCAGCAGGTAAATATGAAGTTGTATTTTTTTTAATCATTTATTTTTTCTTTCAGTAAAGTTTCTTTTATTTTTGTATTGGTAATGATGTGAATCCGCTGATATTCATGTTAGTATTTGGGTCAGTAGATGCATTGTTTATTTTCCTGAAGGTGAAGCGCGTCTGTTTACAACGCGGCGTCCATTTTGTAGTGGCAGTTTTGAGCGTATGCGGAGCGTTTGCGTATTTTACATCTATTGGATTATGTATAGTAACTATCTGATATGGTAATAGCTTGAACTACTGCTTAGGTTTTAAATAATATAAAGGTCAAATTTATTTTTGTGAAGATTAAGTAAATAGTGATATGTTAATCTTTATCTGGGAGAGCTACAAAGCTCAGTCTTGCAAGAGCATATGCAACATTGACTGGTGGACCCTGCAAGACTACAAAATGCTTTAGAGTTCATCACACTTTGATTAGCAATTGTAGGCCCATCATTACCATGCTAACTTCGAAATGCCTAATTGTTTTTTGTTATTTTTATATTGTTTATCTTGGCTCTACCAGTGCAACCCCCAAAGTAGTTGCAAGTGAAGTCAGTATATGCCCAGCTGTGGAGCATCTTTTTAGTTTCCATCAGTTTTCCATTTCTTTCATGAAACTCTTGGGACAAAGTATTGAATCTTGCTTTTAGTCAAGAATATTGTCAATATTATAACTACTATGTTACTGGTACCGAGAGGGATGCACAGAGATAGAGGGAAATAGTCATAAACCATGAAGGTACTGCTGTTTTGGAGACTGTCTACAACATCCTCACACAACCAAAGTTCTTAATGTCAGTTTCTAAGAGGGGGGGGGGGTAGCTTGTCTCCCCTGTTTAGGGAATTAAATTAGGTTTGGATTTTTGGGTTTGTATGATACCCTTGTTTTGGGGCTTTATCTCTGCTTCACTCTCGGTAACAAAACCCCAGTTTGTGAATAGTATTTCATTTTTCATGTATGTAACAGGAGGGAAGAAGGGGTTACATGGGTCTGTTACTTGTCATTATTAGAGGAAAGTCAAATCTGGACTAGAAAGTCTGTGAAAGGAAGCTCTTTATCCAAAAATCAAAAAAATCAAAAGCAAAGTCGTCATCTATAATTTCTTTTCTATATATTGTTTGAACTTTGGCTCCAGATTATTTTTACAATGTGTTAGTGTAGACTGATATCTGTTATGATTTTATTGTATAGTTTTATTCTGTTCTAGTGATTGTTCTGTTCCAGTTTTTGGGATTTCCTTTTTTCTTTATGCATTTTTCATTCTTGCTCATACCCTGTCCTTCCCCCCCCCCCCTTTCTCTTTATGATAATGTGGTGGATCACGGAGGAAATAGTGGGAAATGAAAGTCATTTGTTGTATTTGGTATTTAGAAGGAAGGCAGAAAAGGGGATTTTAGTATGGGAGAATGGAAAGCCACTTTTCCTATATAACCACTTGTTTGGTTAATTAAACTCTCCCCCCCCTCTCTTTCTCTCCTCTCTCTCTCTCCCTCCCTCTCTCCCTCCCTCCCTCCCTCCCTCCCTCCCTCCCTCCCTCCCTCCCTCCCTCTCTCTCTCTCTCTCTCTCTCTCTCTCTCTCTCTCTCTCTCTCTCTCTCTCTCTCTCTCTCTCTCCCTCTCCCTCTCCCTCTCCCTCTCTCCCTCTCTCCCTCCCTCCCTCTCTCCCTCTCTCTCTCTCCCTCTCCCTCTCTCTCTCCCTCTCCCTCTCCCTCCCTCCCTCCCTCCCTCCCTCTCTCCCTCCCTGTCTCCCTCTCTCTCTCTCTCTCTCTCTCTCTCTCTCTCTCTCTCTCTCTCTCTCTCTCACATCTTACCTTTGCTTCTTAATGTAATCATATTTGGAAATTACCAGTTTCAGAATTCATTCGACTGTAATTATTGAAGTTGATGTTGGTGGAATGGTTATGATAATCTCAATCAATCTCAACAGGTAACAGCACCTGTGAGAGCAAGTAAGCGACGGCATCAGGCCACAACGTCACCCGTGACGGCGCGCAGTGAGAGCAGGTCGCCCAGGGCCAAGCAGAGGCCAGTCATTACTCGGCAGAGCCCACCCACCATCTCTGCTGCTCCAGCTGTTGCCGCTGCAACGACCACCACCCCAGCCACCAGTTCCTCTCCAAACGGGCGCACGAGGACAGAGTCCCGGAGTGGCTCTGTCAGTCCATCACAGCTTGCAGTTCCCCGTGTATCAGCAGAACCACCCTGCCCCTCCATGCTGCCCATGCCACCCGTGCACTGGAGGGCTGGAGAGGATGCTAAGTGCCCAGCTCAAAGGCAACACTGTCGTGCTGTGACTGAGTCGCTACTTAATCACTTAACTACGTCGGGCATCTTGGTGACTGCTTAGTGGTGCTGGGAAGCAGGGCAGGTGTTGTGGCAGGGTGGCGGGGCAGCTGTAAGGTGAGAAGGTGAGTGGGGCCGCAGTCCGAACTGTAAACCACTCCCTTGGCCAGGCCATGCCACTATCCCCCTGCACCACTGTCCGAGTCAGTTTCCCTTGGGAAACCGGCCAAGTACTTTTAGGTGAAAGTTAAAGTAGGTTGATGAGATGACAATGATGATGGCGTGAACTGGTAACCACGATGTTCTTGTTCTGTGATACTGGTAGTGCTTACTGGCTTAACTGTCCGTGTCACGCAAAGTGAAATCACTGTTGTTGTTCCCAAAGCGTGATGATGTGTCCTGGCCAGCAATAACTGGGATCATCATGAGCAAGCAACCCAATGTCCTGTATTTTAGTAGATTCACATGCTGCATTGTGGACTTGTTTCAAACTTCAGGTTTTCTTAAAGGATATTAACTTTTTCCCCTGGCTATTATTTTTTTTACTATTTTTTTTTTTCTTTCCCCTTAGTCTCTTGGATTTGGACAATATTTCTATCTTGTCCTTCAGGCTCTCTTGTTGAAATTTTTTATTTCATTAAAAGGAAGTGTTTTTTCCAAATTCCAATGGTTTGGAAATTTTTCAAAAGAAGGCAATCTTAAGTTTTAAAACTTATCACTTAGCATTTCCACAATATTACAAACAATCAAACTGCTCATTGTATTTTTAGTGTAATGGTGCTCTTCCTCACGGAAGTAAGATGCATAAAGTTTGTCGTCAGTAGTAGGCGGAATTTGTCTGGAAGCGAAAGTTGATTGTTTGTAGTTTGCCAGCAGTGCTCATTTAGTGTCCTATTGTCTGCAGTTGCAACTCAGACATAAATAGTATTTAGAAGCTAATATTTTATTTTAATTATTTTGTGGACGTATTATGCCATTCAAGGTTTTTCATTACTTTTTCTTTAAGTGGATTCAAGTGTTTTACAGTTGTTAGTCAACTTGTTTGAGTTGGTAATTTAGTATATCAAATTAGACCAGTTAATCAATGAACGGCAGTCCGGTTGGATGAGTCTTGAACCTGCCAGTCCACAAGGTAATTAGTTGTTGTGAGCGGCGAGGGTTAGTGTTTCAGCACGCTAGGAGTGGTGGCGATGGGGAACCTCCGTGATATAAGGTGTACCACGTACTCTAGTCTTGAGGCCCCAAACTGCCCCACTCCCAACCTACAGAATTTGTATAGACTATTTTTATTATGCCAGTTTTTTATCAAGATTCTCCTGTAACCGGTTGCCCCATTTTCATGTATATTATATAATTATTTTATTGATCCAAAGGTATTGGTTTGGACCAAATTTATATGGTTGCCATGCTTGAGGCATGGCACTGTGTTTTGCTGTAATGTGCCACGAAGGGCTGTACTGCTTGCAAAGGATTGATTATTTGCAGATGGATTTTTTAAGAGAGAAATTTGCATTGTGCTGTACAAGCCCGAGTGACTAGTGTTAAGGACTTGTGATCTCAGAAAGAGCAAGTATTTGACTCTGGACTGGTAGACCATAGCTGGATCCACATTCCAGTGTATTAAGGGAGTGACCCTCGCAGTACAAATCCTTTGGGGTCGCATCCCTGCACTCTCCTGCTTCAAGTGTGATCACCGACAAGTGCACAATGCTCAGGAGTCTTAGGTCAGGCTGTTGATGTGAAAGAGTAAAGAGTGACAAGATGATGAAAGGGGCTCACGTACCCAAGCTGTAGGCTAAGAACAAGAGACCGTGGACTCGCACTTGGGAATTGGAGTACTGTGTGTTGAAGACACGAGGCTTATCTCTGCTGTCTTCATCGTCATAGGCGCAATTGCTCAGGTGGAGGCCAAGATCTGTTTGTGTTGATTTTTATTGTAAAAGAGGGCTTGAATCCCCCTTGAGTAGATCTCAGAAAGAGGTTTCTTGCTCAACTATGTGGAGCAGGGCCTCATAAAGTATTTTACAATTGTGAACCAAAGCATTTTATCAACATCTTATCTGTTAGTACCTTGGTGGTGCTGACACCCAGTAATACTTAGCTCTACCTCATGTCAAGTTTGTTGGACTATTGAATGCATATCATAATGTTTGACTACAGTCCGAGAGCTGTCATATTTGTAAACACTTCCCTTACCACAGAAGGTACTCGAGCAGGCTTCCATGCATGTGGCTTTACCAGTGGTTAGTTAGTGTACTTGAGAGGCTCGGCTGTATTTGATGCTGACCACGGAGGGCAGAGTGCCACAACTGTCACTGTGTCTGAGGGCTTCCTACACCTGAGGACGTGACGCCTGTTGCTTAGCATTAAGTGTTGCTGTTTTGTAGTGTCCTATGCATGAGGACAAGCCTGACTTCAACCGGTCACAGGAGGATGTAACGAAACACTAACACGCCCATGGTGGTGGCACTGCTGTTGGCGGCAGCACTGCAGGGCCAAAGGAATATCATCCCCAAATAACCCTTGCTCTGCTACCGCCAGCACTACCACCATCGTCAAGGAGACTTGAAGATTATATGTCTGTGATACTGCCATCAACTTCAACTCTCCTCCCCAAAGTTTAAAATCAGATTATTTGCCAATTTGGCAAAATCCCCATGATATCACCATTTGGTTATGGTACAAAGGAATCTATTTCAGAGTTATTTGACAAGAAAAAAGAAAAAAATAATTAGCAAAAAAATGTAAAGTATTCTAAGTTAAATAATGTACCTGATACAGGTGTGATTGGAGACCTCATGGCTGCATGAGGCCTCCCATAGTCTTGTCCCCCCCTTACCTTCATCCCTATTCCATCCACGGGGTTGTTACCCTAATTGTTAACCGTGAGATACCTCTTTTTCATCCTTTTTGACTCATTAGGCCATCCCATTTCCTTTTTGCAATATTTTGCTCATAAGTCTTAAATCTTTTTCCTCCCCCCATCCCACCCCATTCACCCACCCACCTGTTTTAGCTCTTGTCCCAGTCTTTGGGACATTCCTTGGTCCAATCACCTACTTACTACTTTTCCTATGACTTTGTATGAATTGGTATCAACTGATACTTGTGAAAATGTGATAATCTCAAGACCTTGTATGTGTTTGTGTGAAGAGTATGAATGTTAAAATATGACATGGATGGATATCCATATTGATGAGTG